GGTATGCCAAAACAAATACCAAATTTGCAAAAAGTATTCATATTTGCCATATACCAGAAAAATATATAAAATTACTTCATTGCTCCAAATGTGATGATCCAAATGTGATCATCACGGTTATTTTGCATTTGCTGATTGGAATTTATTAACAAATCTATTAAAATATGAAACATAATTAATATATAGCAATTGTATTTTTTATGCGCAAATATCAATCAAATAATCTTTAACGTAAAAATTATTGATCGTTTCCACAAAACTTCCACTATATCTATGCTGATACACTTCATCCCTTGAGCTTAATACCATACACTTGAACTAGTAAAAAGGGAATGGAAGAGTCAGTTTCGCTCGATGATTCTAATAACATATGCAATTTTCATTTATTAACTATAGAATTAAATTTAAGTTTTTAAGTAAATACTTCAGACATTTCAACAGATTTTATTTATTTTCTATTTTTTAAATTTTTTGTATTCAAAATTTTCTCACTTATTTTTTTAGCGCCAAAATTATTCACACAAATCAAAAAATTTTGTACACAAACCCAACTGTCATATTTCATGCGTTGCCAATCATTTCAAACGTGATCCGTATCGTTTCAGCAAAGATGATTCAGATCATTGAGCGGATCATGTTTGCTGAAACACAGCTAATGAAGAGCAATATAGAGCAATATAGAGAACACAGAATACAGTCAAATTTCCATAACTCGAAATACCATTTTGCAAACAAAAGGTTCGACTTATGAAGACTTCGGGTTAGAGAATTTTTTTAATTTTTTTTTATTTTTAAAGAAACTAAAATTTTAAGATATTTATTTATTTATTTATTTGAAATCAAATATAGCACAGAAGTGAAGTATTCAGAAATTAGGATTTCGGATTTAAATTTTTTTTTCTTATTTTCAGGAAAAAGAGAGTTCAATTCATTTAAAGGCTTACAGTGATCATCAGTTGTAGTATCATTCGTTTGCAAAAATAAATATTTTAATTTTGAATGAATCTTCTACTTCATGCTTGGAAGGCTGATGAACAATTTCATCCACCGAACTCTCATCATCACTTTCCGTTACGCATAAAATCAGATCCACAAGTTCAGAGCTATAATGCTCAATAATATCGTCATATGTAAGAAAGTTTGATGTACAAATTTTATTTTCAAACTCAAAATAATCGTTAAGAGTAGCATTGGAAGTTATTTTATATACAGTAAGACCCCGCTTAACTCTGTTTCGTTTAACTCTTTCATTTCAACCCGAACATTTAAGCAGATGTTTAAAAAAACAGATGAAGAAGAGAAGCAATCAATAAGAGAAAAACTACAATATCATGAATGCTGGAATGGAATGAATGAGATAACAGAAAGATCTTTTAAACCAGTATGGAAGAACATTTGGCCAGATTAAAGTAAGAGCGAAGACATTGGACGCTCTGTTGATATGGATGCATTAGTGTAGGAAATAGTGAAATTAGCGAAACAAGCCCGTTTAAATGAGGTAAATGTGGAAAATATTGATAGTAGTGATTTCGAAGAAGAGCAAAAAAAAGGCGCTTGTAAAAAGGAGTTTGATCACTACAACTGATATTATAAACCAATTTGTTCAAAATGATTCAAAATTTTGACAAGAGTTCAAAATCAAGGCGGGGGGTTATAGATGCTTTATCCACTTATAAACAACTTCTTATAGAACGCAAAAGGAAAACGCAAACTACATCAGATGCCTTATTGACAGAAAGACAGAAAATTGGACACACAGAATAGACTACACAGATCTGACTGACTTAGAATTTTATTTGTTTTTATATATATTCGTTTACATTGTTTTTGTTTTTGTAGGATATAAATATTTGGTTTTATTATTATTAAAAAAAATATAATTATTAAATTTAATGCATAAGCAATTTTCTCACAATCTTCCCTAACCCCATTATTTACATGTTAAGATAGCCTCGTTTAGCGCTGTTTCGTATTACGCTTTATTTTGATGGAACTTATACTACGCGTTATACTACGGGGTCTTACTGTAGTTTACTTTTACATCAATTGACAGTCTTCATTAATGTTATTCAAGAAAATTAAACGAATGTCGTCCTGCCCCTCTGCTGAAAATTGTCCAAATCCAGATTGTTTTTTCGAGTTCTTCCTTCTTTCGAAGCTTGGTGTTTATGTAAAATTAAAACCAAAATTCGAAAATGTAATGGTAAAAATAGATCCTTTTTTGACAACATTGAAAATAAATATCGCTCTGCAGTATGAAAAGACACATTTAATAGTAATGATTTGTAATAAGGTTTTGAAAACAATTCACAAAATTGAAATGAATAAATATTGCTCTTTTGAGATTATTGCCTTTATTTGAGCTGGAAAAGATTTTGCAATTTAATACTGTCATTGAAAATTGAAAACAAGAACTTGGATTCCTCAATTTAATGCACAAAAAGACGGTCAAATTCCGAAATATTTACGACTGCAGCTGTGAAAAACAGAATAATTTCAAAAAATATTTGCAGTCTATAACTCGAATGTTCTAAAACCCAAACTAAATAGAGTGCAACAGGGTTTAGAGAACAAATTACGATCAATTACAAAAAAATTCTTTAATTCAAACCTTTTCTTTGCAGAATAGTACTTTGAGTTATGGAAACTTGACTGTATACATAATAAAACAAATTAATGGGCCTATTTACACTATCATTAACGTGAGATGAACTTAACGACAACATGAACTGTCAGTTCATGTACATATTATCGTGAACTCTCATGAGCGTGAAATTTGTTTCGTTTTGTGTAAATGTATAAAATGCTTGTGTGTAGTAGTGTAGAGTACAGAAATTAAGAGTATTCAGTATTAAAAGGTGAACATAAACATAACATTGCATATGTAGGTATGCGTATCAAGCTGAAGAAATGCAGCAAATTTCATTGCGTGAAATTCATGAACTCACATCACACTCTCATCAATAAGCAACCAGTTTTCAAGTTTATGTTCATGTTCATGTTCATGATAGTGTAAATAGGCCCAACAAGAAATTTTGGTCTTTTGGTGGTTCAAAAATAAAATTATTTAAATTTTAATTTTTATTTAGGCTACACTGATCTTGTGACATTTTTTTACCCGACGTCTCGTTGGTTTTTTTCCAACATCTTCAGGGGTAACGAAACGATTTTTTTATTATTTAATAATTATAGTTTTTTACAATGCGAAAACAATTTCATAATTTTTGATAATGTATAAAATTCAAATGGTACACAAATAAATGACAACAACAATAATAACAAAACGATAGCAATAGTTAACAAATTATCACTGTTTATTTAACATTTTCATGTGTAAATTAAAAAATAAAAAGTAAAGATTGTTCTTATGAACATTATGAACACTTCTTCAAGTTACCGCCATTTTTGATTTGTTTATTATAGAGCAGCAATATAATTTGAGCTTATATTCTCCGTATCTTCTTTTATGCTCATTGTCAAGTTAATTTTCTCGATTTCGTAAGCTTTCGAGCGTGCAGCGTTTTTTCCATGACATCTTTTTGTCCAACATTAATATATTATTGAAATCTGGTTTATGTTGTCTCTCAGTGCAATGCTGAGATAGAGCTGTATTGGTTTTGCTCTTGCTGATGTCTAATATATGCTCAGCTATTCTGGTGTTTAGTGATTTTTTCGTTGTACCAATATAGATCTCTTTCCAACTTCCATCTTAATTTATTTGATACACCACATTATTTTGTTGCGGCTTATAGATTTTATTTTTGTTGTTGAAGAAAATTTTATAAGTTGTTGGATTGGGTTTATAAGCACAAAATATATTGTCTTGTTTTAGTATTGCGATTAAGATTCTATTACTAACTAATTTTGGTACATAGCGTACTGAAAAATATTGCTTAGGAGCTTGGTTATTGTTATTTTGAATATTGTTATTGTGACTTTTGTCCTGTTGTTTAATAAAATTGTTTATTAATTTGTGTAGATAATAACAATATTCAAAAAAACAATAACCAAGCTCCCAAACAATATTTTTCGGTAGCAATGATACATCGGATGAAAAAAGGAAGTAAATTAATATTTTATTTGCATCCCAGTTACAAGATCAGAGTAGTCTAAATAAAAATTATAATTTAAATAAAAACCTAACGTACTGGTCAAAAAACCCTTAATAATAAAAGTATTTATAGTTTAATCTTCACCAACCTTCTCGTTGGGTTCATTCCACATCTTCAGGAGTGGTTTCTTTTATTTTTTGCACAAATCTATATTTACATGTACATTTTATTAATTTATAACTTTTTCTTCTGCTTTTGTTGTTGTTGTTATTAAACTATTGTTTGTTAAACTAATAGACAGTCCTGTTAGGAGTATACGGACGTACTTTGTAACTTGATAAAGTAATAAAGTTTTACGTGCTTTTGCGTTAGTGAAATAAAATTGCCTAAATACGGAGCGGTGCTTTCCTGTAATTCATTTCAGAACTTCTCTTCAACAAATGTCATTTCTGTTCTCTACTAATATATATATATATATATATATATATGTTTACATATATAAATAAATTTAGTATTTAAACGCATTTTTGCAAACTAAATTTTTTATATACGAATAGACTTTCATGTATTAAATAAAATTTTTTGTTATTTTTTAATTAATTTTATATATGTAGTTTATATTTTTATAATAATATAATAAATCGTAAATGATTTACTTTGAGACGCTGTCTGTGCGATTCCTTTTTATTATAAAACCTCCTCTGATTTGTACAAAATTTTGGTCAATTTAGACAGAAAACTTTGAAAAGGGTTGTCTACGATACATACATACATGTATTTATACCAATTGTAAAATGATTTTTAACGGATATTTGTGTTGAGATCATTGAAGCCGCGTTAAAGACATGACTAATCATTCTTCGTTTTTCAATCAGCTTATCCTATATATAAAATAAATTAATTCAAAATACATTATATAGCAGGCTGCCACTGTTCATTTTTTATTGCTTACAGAAACCCACTTGATTAAAAAATGTTTTGGACAATCAAAATGTAACAAATATACTTCTAATATATTACTTTAAGAAACTAAGTACGCTGGAGAGGTATTTGTTGGTTCAATACTTAGAGCTTCTTTACTATAAATACGATCCATGTAATGTACAATTTCAAATCCTACTTCCACCATAATTAAAATTATTATCATCCATTCCAAACGTATATGATGTGCGTCGTTCAGATTGTGTGAAATCAATTCAGCCAGTTCTACACAGTGGTTCAATTTCTCGTTCATTACTTTAGTTCTACGGGATATACTAAAGTACGAGCAAACTTGGAGGTATAAGTTTTCTAGCTCTTCTCGATCCCAGTAGAAGTCTGGTGTATCAAGTAAATCAGATGATAAATTTATAAAATGTCTTAAAGCAAACAGTTCTCCAGTTTTTCGCAACACAGCATCTCTTGAAATTCTTATACGTCTACCTTTTTTTAAATCTTCTGTTAAGAACTCCATTGAATCAATTATACGACCAAGTTTTGTTTCCCACATGCCTAATTTAGTGGAGGTAGCCATTGCATTAGAAAATGTGTATTTTTGCAAAAAGTTATCTTTTGTGCCAGTTAAGAAAAATTTTCCGTCTTGAAAAATTGCATTTCCAAGTTCTTCTTTATTTGCTAGTTCACGCTTTTCGTTTGATGAAGGGGTAGGAACATATGTATAGGGCATAACTTCAGCTTCGCCACGAACCAAAGGACGTAAATATGCATCCTTTTCATATTGCCGCAAGAAGGACAAAATATTGTTTGTTTCAATTTCGTTAAAGTTCCACAGAACTACTGATCCTTCACGGAAAAAAAATATGTCTCGATTTTCTGCTCCAACTTGGTATTTGGCTGTGGCGTAAAGAACATCTTGCTCGACTCCGAGCGGATCAGTCGAAAAGAATTTTTTGGCAGCATAAAGATCCTGCGTTGCTAGACCATTCACTAAAGATTCTAAGTTATATTCTTCGGCTGTAGAAAATGATGAAACATTATAAAATCCTTCGGCGGATATATCAAATGTTTGAATTTGACTTTTGCCTTTTTTACGAAAAGTTCGCTTTTTTGATACCGGCGCAATTATTGAAGGAAAATTATGTTGATCTTCAGCACTTTTCTCCGTGTCAGTTATGGAATCATTTTCTGTTTTTTTTTGTTTCGGAACCAATGTGCTCGGCAGGTCCGTAGTTATTGTTGTATAGCTTCGCGGTAATAGAATTTCATTGCCAACATTGTTAGCAAACGCCTGCCGGAATTTGTTTGTGTTTTCGTAATTCACAAATCTTTGACCTCTCACGAGTATTAAGCGCACTAAATTCATTTTTATTTATGTTTTTATGTGCAAATCTTACTTTAAATTTTGACCGTACATTTCATCATCATATTGTGTTATAAACCAAAGTGTGTTTTCTGCCTTTTTTTATTTTATCAAGGTTGCATTTGAAAGCATTTTTGAAATTAGAATGCCTACTAATCTTCACTCAATCAAATGGACAACATGTTGAATACATTTTCTAATATGTAGATTCAAAATAAATGAAATTTAATAAATTCACAATTAAATTAAATAAATTGATATAAATGATATAAGTTAACGAAATCTTTCAAATCAAAATTTTAATCTTGAATACTAAAAATGTTTTGTTTTGGATACCGAAAAAAATTATATATGCTTTTAATTTATAATATTTATTATTTCTGGACTGTAAGTGTATGCAATTGAAAACGCTGTAATTAAAACTGAACATTCGATTATTAACTTACGATGCCAACGTACACTGGATTGCCTTATTCAAGTTTCCAGTTTATATTTTATTGCTTATTCGTTAAAAACAAATGTACTGGGTTTGGTATAAATGGAATAACAAAGAATGAATTTAAATGATGTGAATTATCACGTAAAATTTGCACCAGAGATAAAGCTGTTGCAGTTCTGTTTTTAATAACCGAACTACCCACAACTCAATTTTGGTCGTTTGACTCATTAAAATTAAAATTCGATTTCACATAAATATTTGGCAATCAACTTATGAATGGATTAATATTATGTGCACAATACTATAATTGTTTGACGATTCGTGAACAAAACATACCTTTCAACGATCGGCTTTTTCATATACTCTGCTACATACTGGCAAAATTTTTATGTTTAAATGCAAATACAAACTTTTTTTGAATTTTGTCTACAAATAAGAGCTTGCAAAAATATTTGCAAACTCTTGATGGTGTAAACGGCGAGACACCTACTCACCTACAAAAACATATACGAGGAAAAAATTAAGTTAAAATTATGATTTACTGTTTTAACGGATATTTTTAATGGAGTTAACCGATTGAAGAGAACTGTAAGCATAACTCTAATTGTGCTATGTGAATGGACTCGCAAGTAAATTATTTTTAAAGAATTCAATTTTTAGTTCAATAGTTACTGTTCATGACAAATAATCTTTGGTTTCGAATATTACCTGCATGTCTACATTTTCTCATGTAGCATAAATATTTATTTACTGTGTGATTGCGGAAACTCTGGCTCTACCCAGTCGAACATCGAAATTATTGTCTAATATTTTGGATTTTACATAATAATTACAGTAGTTATATTATCATAATGCAATTAACCATTATTAACTTTTTCAAAAAAACGGTGCCTGGTCATATCTTTCGTGGGAAACGACGTCTTGTCAAGCCAGTCAGTAAGCGAGCAATGGAAACGTTAAAGCGAGATTATGAACGTCAAGAAAAAATTATGCTGATTCTGAGATACCCGTATTTAACTCAGGTACTTAAAAAAAATTTCAAAAAGTTCGCACTAAACAAAATATTTAATAGGAAGAATCGTCAGGGCATGCAAAAGATTTAAAAAAGACTGAACGGCTTATGGAAGCATGGACTACCGCGACCACTTTGAAAAAGATGAAACCGCATGTAACAATTGAAGACCGATTAAACCATTTAAGAGTAAAAGAATGTTGGGATTAGATGTAGCATCAGATTGTGTGAAATGTAATGTAGAGTACTTATTATTCAATATAATGATAGAGTATAGAATATAAAACAACTTTGTATTAAATTAATGCAATAATAATAAGTATCGATCCATCTGTAGTATACGATCAATTGAGTGATTCGTTATATCTGTTGTCAATTACATGTCAGCCAGCCATGTCGCGGATGTAGGGAATGCTTCGGAATAAAATCTATTGATAACTTGGCACAGATGTTTAATATTACTGTTATAACAAGTATTGTATTACGTTTCGAAACCTCGACAGGATTCGTTTCGTTCCTTGTATAATTAGCTGTTTCGAAGCGTGGACGTTTATTATTTCATTTTTATAGGAAATATTACTTGTAAGATTTGTTGATACTGATTAATTTCTTCATACTTTAATATGTTTAATTAGATTTTCTTTTATTAATAATCTGGATAAAACAGTGCAATATATTCAATAATGTTTTTGTCACTTCAAAATCGAAATATCGTTATTTAAATTATAACCTGGGAAACGTAATAAATTATAATACATATATAAATTAGTTTCAATATTAAAAAAGTTGTTACGCGTTCTAATTTAAGTAAAATAAAATATGGGCGTTTGACAATTGTAAAAAAATACTCAAAACAAAAAGAAAACGAAATATTAATTTTGAAAATATTTATCGGATGGCTTTAAGCAATTTTATATAGGCAGCTACGTTTACAACTAGTCAGTTGGTGTCGGCGTTTTCGTTAGTGTAGGTTCGATCTCTGCTGGTTGGTCCAAAGACACATTTGTTAAACAATCATCATTGTCTAAGAAATCTACATTAGTAGTAATTTTTTGTGATTGCTCCTCTGAAAGAAAAGTGCCACACTCCTCTTGAGAAACTACTGGGATTGGTGGCGGCGTATTTGAAAGCATCACAGGTGATGTGCTGCTTGTTGCGGCACCATCACCCATTCCACGCTCAATATAAGCGATAGTAGACGTTGAGGGAGAAGTAGGTAATGAATCTTTTTGATTAAAGTCTTGATTAGGGCTTTCGCGTGTAAACAATCCCATTTTGCTTTCTTGAGTCGGTTCAACATTATTAGATTCATTTTCAAATTCACTATTTTCACCTATTTGAGCAGAATGATCGCCTACTAAATGTGACGGGGCGTGTTGTTGATGTAGTACACCCGACACCTGCTGTTGACCCTGCATGTGATGACGCGCAATATCTGCTTTTCGCCACAGTGTTATTTCTTGTTGTTTGAAATAACGTCTATCTTCAGTATCCATTAAAACTAAATTGAGAAAATATTTAACAGAAAACTTTTTGTTAATATCGCGCATTGTTGGAGTAAGGTTATAACCACCGAGAAACACTCTTATTGGTATACTTTCACCTTTAACTGGAGCACCATCCATTATTTCATACTTTGCAATTGTTTCATTTTCAGTGAACATATTCGGTCCGGTACCAGTTGATTCTCGTTTTATGATTGCTATTTCCATATGTTTTATTTTAATTCGGACTAATAAGAAATATATTTTGCCAATAATTGTATCTTTTAAATGATACTTGCTTTTGTTATATTCAAATTCAATATGAAGACAATCCTCAATGCCCACCTCCATTTTGATTTGATTATTCATTTCAGGGTAGCTGCATAATGTATGCACAGCTATATCGACCTCTCTGGTTATATCACTAATTCGACGTACAATTGTGGCACGTAAAAAATAACGGAGTCGTACATTTGAACCAGAATATACTTCAAACTGCTTCTCAACGTTCGGAAAATCAAACGGATAGCTAGTGTTTTGTAATAAATCGCCTGGACGCGCTAGAGCTTTAGCTAAACATTTAAACTCATGGTGATTCCCACGATCGTAATAAAGTTCTATTTGACCAATAAATTCAATTTTGATTCCTTGATGCTCTAGTTTACTTCCGGGCTTCTTTAGAGTGACATTTACCTTAAAATTTATATAAAAAAAAAAATTACATATGCATATACATTACATACTTATAGGTTTAGAAATATGTGAAATATTTGTTACAATTCTAGTAGGAATAATTTAAATATATTTAGCTCAGAAGCTTATTATCAGAAGAAGCAATATTTTATTACAGCTTTTCACTTGAACGACGGACCAAACAACGTATGGGTCTGTCTGCAAATTTTATTAGGCGCACTGACTAATTTGATGTGAGTTCAACATCAAAACATTTTGTATGCCTTCTAAACGCAATTCGCTGATTTGATACATAATCAAATTAAAGACGATATGAAAACAAACCTTTCCGGACACAGTTTCTCCGTCGTAGTATAATAGCATTTTTTCAACTTTCCCGTCCTCCCCCTTGACATCAGCTTCTTTCCTATTTTCGGCACCATCAAAAACAATGTCGATTTCGGCTGATTGTCCGAATCCTAAAAAATTCATTTTCGAAAATAATTGTTAAATATTTTGTGTACTAATGCTTTAATATTTATTTCCAATTTTCAATTTTATCTTGGGCGTTTTGTTGTGCAAATATTCTGTTTCAATTTGGTTGCGATTTTGATAAATTTGACAGCGCAGTGATGCCAAGTCATCCGACTATTATTAAAACTAACTTTCATTAGGAATCAAACTTAGCAAAAAGTATGTGGCGCTGCAACCTCCAATTTCTATTCAATTTTTGGATGTTTTTTAACGTCCTACAACAGTTACATAGTTTGATTTAATAAAAATTTAAGAACTAATTTTAATAGAAATGGAGTATATTTGTACGAAACAAATATTAACAATAATAGTTATGTAAATGCCTCCTAATAAACTAGAAAGAGCAGTTATAACATTGCAAATCGATTAGGAATTAAAAGCCCATGTTCCCAGCTCGAATATTTGATCATCTTAACTTTTGTGGAACACTCCATCATTAAAAAAATATATATAATATGATGTTAAGTTCAAAACTATTATTCAAATGAAAAATAGATATATTCCGTCGTGCTATCTACACTCAACTATTATTGGAAATTTTAATACATATTTTTATCAGAGAAGATCTTATAAGATCCTTTCTGATTTCAATCATCTGTCAGAAATTGTTTGTAAATAAAAATTCAAACAAAATTAAAAAGGTTCACAAACTTGAAAATTGTGAAAAAGAAATATTTTAATACAGAAAATAGAAAAAGATCTCTGAATTTTTTAACTTCTTAGTTGCCAACAAGTTCATGCCTATTAAAGTAAAAATGTTTTTTACTGATTGAGTATGTTGTAAAAGGAAGTTTCGAAACTTTTATTCTGAACAATTTGTACTTTTTAAGCATTTAAATTTTTATTGACCGGTCACTGTAGATTGAATACTCACCTATCGAAGTTAGGAATTCAATTCAACTCTGACTGTAGAAACTGTAGAGAAGAGAGAGAAACTGCATACCATGTGCTTGGGGATTACCCGGCACTGCTGCACAAGCTGAAGAAACACCTAGGATGGTATTTCACGGATCATAAAGATTCAAGACTAGGAAAGGTAGGCTCTATACTGTCTTTCATTAAAGAAATCGGACTTGGAGAAACACTCTAACCCGAGTAAGGGGCACAATAAATCTTTTAGGTTGCAGAGCACAATCCCTTCTTTTAATAATAATAATAAGCATTTAAAAGTTTACGTCCCGATATGATATTTTTTATACCTAATTTCAATTTTTACAGGTTGCAAAGCTTTTTATTGTACACCGTTGTCCTAAAGATAGGTTACAGCGTCTATCGGTTCTAAAATCGATAAGAGTAAGATATTTAGATAAGATATTTATAAGATATTTATAAGATATTTATACTTTAAACCAATCATCTTAACGTCTTTAATCCTTAAAACTTTTAAAGATCTGTTCAAAGCGTATTTTCGAGGTTTCACAAAAAGAGAAATTACATGAATTTTGTTTTTATCAATTAAAAAATATAAAAAAAAACTTGTTTGCGATAAATAAAACACTCGAGTAAAGATTTTTAAAATTTATGTTTATTGGAAAGATATTACGTGTGATATAAATGTGAGTTTGACCAAGACTGACTTCTAAATCTTCTCAAAAGAGCTTTAGAGCATCAGATCTTGTGTTTATATTTCATACAATTGTGAAAGTGAAATGATACAATTCTAATATTTATGCTTAGAGTGCGATAAGTTATGGAATGCAATTATTACTTTTGTGTTTATGTTTGTTTTTCACTGTGGCGCGGTGAATCAAATGACACTTTATATTCAGCGGCACAAGATGTTTATGTTTACATTATTGATACTTATTAATTATTGTCCACTATAGATATTTATACATTGTTGTCAATATGGATACTTATACATTGTTGGACATTTATACATTGTTGCCCATTATACTGTACTGTGTATGTGAGGGGGACGTAACTCATGACACTGAGCATATACAATATAAAGAAAATTTAACTGAAATAGCACTCTATGAGGATGTGAGAGCGATAGTAAGATCGCCTTAGTCCAAGCAATATACTGCAGCCATGTTTTTAGATATATCTTCTATATCTAAAAACATTGAATATTATTTTATCTCTGGGTCATTGCTAGCTACGGGTTAGGGTTATGAAATAAAAATTGGGTAACAACATTATCAGGAAACACGTCTACATAAAGACATGTAATGGAGAAATGCTCTATCCATTTTTAATCCCTACGGGGTAACTAATTCACGGCTAATCCCCTTGCCACGACAGCAGACGTATCGGATATGTAGACGCTAAATTTATGTTTAAGTATTCAGATGACTCAAACGGAAAATTCAGATTCGAATCTAAATATTCATCTGACAACAAACTTGCAAAACAACCATATCAACAGAAATGACTTAATTGGAACACTTTATAAATGCGGTAAATTAGAACTACGGCGACATGTAATGCTCCATTACCAGATCGATATTCTTGCTCCACAAGAATGCAGGTGGTTAGGAAATGGTGGTGTAAATGACAAAGAAACAATTTTTATTTACTCCGGAAGAAACGAAGGCAATCTGACGACAGCACTAAGGCGACTTTAAAGGCTGAATACAAACTGAAATCGAGGTATATAAAAAAGTATATGTAAAAAGTCAGCGATGAAAGATAAGCGCAAATGGTTCAGCGAGCTTGCAGAGCTCGCCGAAAAAGCAGTTGGGGTATGAGACACTAGGGTGGCTCAGAAAAACTAAAATGCGATTTTTGATGAGCGCACCCCCTAGGAATATGCCATTGACCAAAAAAATGATATTCCCAAAGTTTTGGATCAATAGGATTAAAAATGACGTTGCGCCACTCGAGCAAAGTTGGGTTTTCAGTACAAAAAACAGAAATTTTTCAATTCAAGGTCATTTTTTATCTTTGTTACTTGTTTCAATAGTTATTAATATATACTCATTTGATAGATAATTGAAATATCTTTTTAATAAGATACTGATGAGCAAAATCGGTTAAAAATTATGCGCAAAACACAATAAATAGTTGAGCGACTGCGCTCTGTTTTCTATTTCATACCTTTTAGCTGGCATGCACAAGTACGTAATAGGTATATGCTACGATTTAGTTAATTATTTATAAAAAATTATAATATCAAGAAAACCCTTTTTTTCAGTAATTAATATATTGTGTTTATTATGTTTTATAACATAAATCTGACAACGTGAAGGATAATTTTTATGATAATGCTCGACTACTTGCAGAACATATGTTATTGTTTTTCCTCTTCATATTTTGTCAAAATCGAATTATAATCCATCATAAGTCTAATTCCTCTTTCTATACAATCATTTATCATATGAAGTCTGGCACAGAATCCAAGTGCATCTCTATAATCTTGCGTCTCCATCCATGGCGAAGGATCGAAACTGATAAAACTATTAGATAGGCAAAAACGATCAAAAAATTTTTTATCTTTTCGGTCACGAAATCAATAAGGTTCTTTGAGGAAAATAACTTCATTAGTGGGTTCCCACTCTTTATCTAACCAGAGATAGCTAGGAGCTTCGATCTGTGACCGGTAACTCTACAGTTACTATCTACGCAGATGGCTCAAAGATGTAAGGCGGTACGGGAGCAGATATCTTCTCGAAATATATGCAGATAAAACAGTGCTACCGAATCCCTGCTACTTACAGCGTGTTTCACGGCGAGATATATGCTATTGAAAAAGAGGTCAACATTAGACAACAAAGTATAATTCGTCCTTCGAATATCATTATTTTTGTAGATAGGCCGCACTGAAAGCAATTGAATCTAAATCATCAAATATCATAAGGTCTCTCTTTGCTGGACATAGTACATTTCGACATAGCAATATTGAAGGGAATGAATTAGCAGATGACATGGCCGGAAGAGGTGCTGAACTGCATACAGGAGAGGCCGACCTCTAAATACGGTGACTATCAATTTATAAACTAACCGCGAAGACTGTAAGGTCGCTAGAATCTTATGACCTAAGTTGCTCCAACAAGTGGATTATGCAGAAGTTGCCAAGATGAAGAGGAGATAAAATCTATCAACCACTTCCTATGTCTCTGTCCAGGACTACAAACAAGGCTACTTTAATGTCTTGGGGATCCTTATTTTACTGGCTTGCAAGAGATAACGAAAGCAAGCTTATCGGATCTCCTCAACTTCATCTGGAAAACCAAATGGTTTAACAAGGATAACAAAGGTTAGCAACTCGCATCGCCTGGTAAAATTTTTTGAGAGCATCCCAATGGGCAATATATGTCGCCGAGTAGAAGTGCTGACAACTGTCAGCACGTGCCTTCCGAACATAACCTAACCTAGTGTGGGTTAAAATTTTCACACATATGCTCCATCGAGAATCTAAACTAGGAGTGATAAATTCAATCGTTCTGTCTGCGTTATCCCAATTTTGTTGATTAAAGATTCAGCTTTCATTTTGAGACAAATTTCTTCATCGAATTTATTCCAATTAAAATCAATGGAATTTTTAGCCGCTCTTGCTTCGTTTGCTAAAAAGATATTAACTTCAGTCATACTTCCTGTACGACCATTTTTTGTTTGCTTACGAAAAAATTCTTGTTTTGACTACTTTTTCAATTCTATTGTCTATATAAATTATTAAGTAGAAATGTATTATTTTTATTTTTTATTTATGTTTCTTCCGTTTCTTGTAAACATTTGCGATTGCATTGTGCATGCCAGCTAAAAGCTATAAAATAGAAAATAGAGCACAGTCGCTCAACTAATTATTGTGTTTTGCGCATAATTTTTAACCGATTTTGCTCATCAGTATCTTATTAAAAAGATATTTCAATTATCTATCAAATGAGTATATATTAATAACTATTGAAACAAGTAACAAAGATAAAAAATGACCTTGAATTGAAAAATTTCTGTTTTTTGTACTGAAAACCCAACTTTGCTCGAGTGGCGCAACGTCATTTTTAATCCTATTGATCCAAAACTTTGGGAATATCATTTTTTTGGTCAATGGCATATTCCTAGGGGGTGCGCTCATTCAAAACATCATTTTTAATTTTCCCCCTTATAACGTGAGCCACCCTAATGAGACACCAAGAAGTTGCACGAAATTTCCAAACAGCTAACTGGCAAAAATAACTTGAAATAAA